ATAATATACACAGTAAATAAATCACAGTATAGAAATCAGAGTAAATAAATCAGAGTAAATGAATCACAGTACACAAGAAAATAAATATCGAAGCCAATGGTTCTCGAACATCTGTAACATACAAGGGATTAGTAACAAGAAAGGGGACACAACAATATGCACAGTAAATAAATTAATAATATGCACATTAAATAAATTGATGGTTGTCGAATGCCTGCAACAAACAATGGGTTAGTAACAAGAGAAAGGACGAGTATGAGACGCGCGACCACCCTCCGCGACGGTTCACGACAAAGTGAGGAAGCAAGCACAGACCTGCACGGGCTGGTACGACCTTGGTACACGGCGTACACGGCTAAGTCAATAAACTGGGTGACGCAACTCACTAGCGCGTTGGATCGACGGAGAGCACCGATACTCGGCACGCTCTACTGTACTCTCTCGCTCGCACACCTCCCCCCCATAGACCTCCGAAATTCCTCGGCACGCGTCAACACCGACGGAGAGCACCGATACCGCGGCTCGCTCGCTCCCGTTCGACAGCTCCGGCTGTATATTTCTATACAACGTCTAGTCGTACGAAAACATACAATATACAATAGTATTTTTGTAAATTTAACAATAATTGCCTTAAGTACTACTTACATACATGATTTTACTATATATTTATAATACTATTTGTATAGATTCAGTAAAAGTGCGCTTAGATGTTATTCAGGCTTATAAAATATTGTAATTTATTCGTCGCAAATAATTCCATCTTCTGTAACTTGCAAATCTTTCGTACGATCTTCAAAGCTTCATAAAGGTTTCATAAGTTGGTCGCCGAAATTTTCATTCCCGGTGGCGTACTATATACAAATTACTATACATGACTTTATCTGTGGGAGTTTTGAAATTACATATATACATTATTGATTATTGTTAAGATTTTTGGAAAAAATAAATAAATTTATTGTCAGTATTTTATAAAAATATATTGTATCACAATTCAAAGGAGTTCTTCCATAATTATGTTCCGACGAACTGCATTGCTAAACCCTTCTTTATATTTGTACCATACGCCATGTTTCGTCAATAAATCGCGCGAACTGTTGAATTCTTTATGCGATTTCTGTTGTTTATCTTGTGTTAACGTGATTACTCTTCCAAAGAAATCCTTATATACCTGCGATATTTATTATATTTGTTAGTACGATAATAATACGAGTACAACAATCAAATCGTAAACTCACCATCTCTTTCGTTTCCATTCCAATTTGTTTAGATTGTTTGGTAGGATTAGGTAATTTAGGTTTTGAGTTTTGTTTGTTTGCATTGGTTTCTGATTCTGTTGGCCTTGTCATACCGTTATTCTTTACGATATTATCATCTTCCTTTTCTGTAGAACTTTTATTACTTTGTATTGGTTTTAAAACACGTCGCAACCGTTCAGCTTCCAACTCCTGAACTATTATTTGTTTTACTGTGTACGCAAGGGTTCGGCGCTGTTTACAATCGGGGAAAATACCAATTTCAAATATGTTTCTGAAAATAATTAAGTTAAAATATGATTTTCCATCGACATTTGGAGTAGATATGTTCTATAGCTTACGGATCTAGCTTGTAGTCGTAAGTCCCGTCTAGACATTTTTCTTGCGTGAATGTTAAACCGAACTCGACCAAGACATTCACCAACCGAACCAAGTCATCCCTTTCTTTGGCCGAATGTAAATGTCCAGAAACTGTTCGCAATTGTGGAGACAGTAGATCTGGTAGAAAAGGAGCAATATCGACCGCTAACACTGTACTATCACGACCGCTACTTTTATGAATAGTTGTTAGAACTCCCATACTTCTTGCTTGCTTTTGATTCATCTGCAACAGACATACAGTTTCCAATGTAGTTTACAATTTACCATTATAGATTTCATAGTATTTGTATTTCTTACTTCGTATGGCACAGTGGGATATGATAACTTAACGTTATTTGTTTTGGCAAAATATAAATGCCACGTAACAAATGCATAGTTTGTATAGGGCATAACAGACCAGACTTGACGGGTTGCGATTAGGGACAATACTTCGTCAAAGAACTGAAACCACTGTAAGCACAGTGCTATGTAGACCAACTTTTCGGTATGAATTTCCGGATAGTTGTGAAATATGCCCTGTGCCAATTTCTCTGACTCCTCTAAAGCAGAACGTAAATGGTTACCAATAGAATCTATTATGTCTGAGTCGTATGTAAAACATTTTACCATTTTGAACAGTTTTCAATACAAGACGAACTCTCTCGGAAGTAGGAAGTATTCCGTTCTTGTTCATAGGTATTGTTAATATTTGCCTCCACGAGTCGAATAATCCTTTCCGACTGTCTTTTAATGCAAACGTCATATTGTCTCCTAATTTAGCACCACCCATATATTGCAATGCTCCTAAACATGATCTGACATCGCAACCGGATATTTCTGCTAATTTCAATAGAGCATCCGGATTGACTTTTAGATGTTCTTTTCGTGATATTTCCATTAATCTGTCTGCTAGTCTCATGGGACTCACTGCTGGTACTGATATAATAAGCGCAGTTGTTCTGAGAGCCCTGTCATTTGTTGTTTTTGAATGTGTTCTTAAAAACATATTACAATTCTATACAGAGTGAAACATAAGAAATGAAATGACTGAATATCGTTATTAGATTCTGTATTGCCAAAATCCAGATTGATTTTTTTTAGAACCATGTAATTTTGATTTGATTCAATCATTTGTATATTCGAATGTACCTGACCACAGGCATTCAGACACTCTGTTTCTCATTACTTACTCTGTATATGAAGTGAATGAGGAAGATTACCTTAATGAAGGAGTATATGGTTCATTACAAATGCATATTACAGGACGTTGACAAGTAGTGGACCGTTTATTGCTTTTTTCTTTATCTTTTTTACCTTTCTGGACTAGTTTGCCCTGCACAAATTTTAGTAAAAGCTCGATTGAAGCTACCGGCGCTCCATCGATTTCATCTAAAACTAGACAATTCGGTCGTGGGTCGTTTCCCATTACAGCCTTCATTTGTGTTGATGCAAGAAGGACTTGCCTATATTTAACAACGTACATTGATAATATTATCACCCACGATTGTTTTAAAAACTTTCATATTACCTAAAAGCATCGGGACTTCTTTCATCGCTAGCATTGACCTCCACCACATTGTAACCAGCATGTTTAGCTGCTAAGTGAGCTAGTGTAGTCTTTCCTAATCCAGGTGGTCCAGTTAATAATACTATCCTCTGAGTTGGAAATCCTTTACTATCTACTTCTTCAAAATCTTTTTCAACATTTTTCATAAACCTCCGATTTTTAAACATGGAATATTGAGCTTTCTTTTTGTTTTGAATATAATTTCGGTTAAATACTACTTTATCCCACAGTTTTAGCCAATGCAATAAATGTCTATTTACACTTTCATCTGAAAGTAATTCTATGTAAGATCTTGGTCTGTACTTATCAACCCACAGCTCATCATTCGGGATGAAGTGTCTGGTAGAAGAATCCAAGTTTTCACAGCTAGCACGTTTAGCATTTTGTACCATCTGTAAAGTTACACTAAAAAATTACAATAATACTAACAAGGTTGTATTAACACATATATTTGCTTTGCTTACAATTGCTTCAGCTTCAGCCTTCAATTGACTGTATGGTACTGACAATAGACTGAATAATGTGTTTGCATTACTTTTCACTCTGGGCTCTGTATCATTTTTCATTCTAATGTATATACGCTGTGCATCATGTGGCCTGGTCACAGCCACAAAATTCCAACGAGGAACTCGTAAAGATATTGTGTTCTTCTTCCTAAATAATACCATTGATCCATAATTGTATATATTGTATTTCTCAAATTAAATAGTTCCTATCTTTTACATACTCTTCAAAATGTTTTCTATTAACAGATCCTGCACTGTGATCCCGAAATTTTTCTCTAGCATCTAATACTGCTTTAATCACATCTTGGGGATGATCCCATCGTGGTTTCTTTTCTTTACGTTCATAGGTATCAACTGTGGAAATAAATATATTTAGATGACATTGTCTGATTCATATAAAATTATACAAATCACTTACCAAAGTCATTTAAATCTACTATGTCTGAAATATCACCGAACAGTTCATCGTAATTCCTTTTTTTTGTGCCATCTACTTGAGAATTATCAATGTGACCATTGTCTTTACTAGTACTGGGAATACTGAAATCATCATCTTTACTACACGTGGGAGCATTTAATTCTTTATGTACATTAGATATAGGAGTATTTAGTTCTTTATACACATTGTGTATGGGAGTGTTTAACTCCTTATGTAGATTAGATGCTGGAGACTTCAATTCATGTTTCTCTTTTGGTTTTTCATGCAAATTTTGAATCTCCTGGTGTTTCTCTGATTTTTTCCTTTCGTGTTCTAAAACATATTGATTAAAGTTAAGTATTAATATATATCAAACACTGACACATCCAAATTGTTTTGTTTATATGTAATGATAGTTTCTTTCATAAAATGAATTAACCACAACAATATTATTAAAGATGTTTGCATTAATAAATAAAAAATTGTATAACTCCAAATAAAATATTTATATCGCATCTTTCATACAGAAAGTGAAGTACTCCATTCTGAATTAAATATTGGAGCAAGGTTATAATTAATTTACCTTCAAGTTCTCTCAAGAGTTCGTAGTCGGCTTCGTGTTCTAAATCAAATTCTTCGTCCGGATCAGGATACTCAGAGTCCATAATTAAAATTAATTACCAGATATTTACAACAATGATTGTACAAAACAGTTAAATATTGCTATTGTATTAACTCAAATCCTGTTGTACATTTTTACCGCGTCTATTGTATTTTCTCCGCGTATATTGTAGCGGTCATTTTGAATACTGACATAAATGTACCTAAATTAGAAATTTTAAATATCTATAATATTATGTATGGTTTTTATAATATTTATCGCAAAAGAACCGTTTGTGATAAACACATCTTTCATAAATTTCAGTAGTTTTCAAATACCTTACAAAAACACGTTTCATTCCTTAAAAACATTGCTGTTAAATATTTCAGAGAAATCGTCTTACATAATTACTGACCCATACCCACATACCATATGACGCCTTGAAGACGGCTTAAAGACGCCTTAGACCTAAAATAGCCGTAAAATATACGTCTTTAAGGCGTCATGTGCTATCTGGGTATTAACGAGAAATAAAAGATCCTTCCAGAATAGTCTTTACAGTTTTTCACATGTTCTTACATCGACAAACTATTACACGTCGCTTCTTCACGTACATGTGTCACGTATTCGAAACAACGTGCAGTTTCTTTATGCATTGTGCTCCGAATGACAATTACCATTTGAAGAATACGGGTCTCACGTGAACCTCAAACACAACTTTCTGCAGTTTGTGACTCAAGACGAAAAATTGAACCTGTAACTACGAGAAAAATGTTTTGTTCTCTAGCAACTATCGATCAATGTATCATCAAAGTAAATCATGGCTGACAGCAACTGGATAAAGAACAAGTTGTATCATAAAATATTACAGTACCATTTAAAATGAAATATTGACACGATTGAATAACTTAAAATAAGTGGCATATTTTAAATAAACGATTAAAAAAAAGGGAAGCTCGACCACGCAAATCCAGCGCTCATTGTTACAGCGCAGCGTGTTGAATATATTTTCGGTGTCTTACGAAACGCTTCAGTCGGCGCGTAAGCCTTGAACGTACAACCTCGTGGGGTGGGTTTCTCGTTTTGTTTGAAAGTACGATCCCCATTTCGTAAACTATTTTGCCACATGAGCATTATTTCGTTATTGGAATTGTCGTGATTCTGCAGCACAACATACTACAATTTGGACTGTACGGAATAAGAAAATATCGATGTCCTACGTGCAATATTGTTGACCTTTTCAAGGGTGAACTGTCAAACACAGCTGAGACATCGTGCCAGGTGTCAATTAATAGATAAGCTGGAAAACAAGTAATTTATTTTTCGAATTGTGTGACCAGTGAGAACGTACAAATAATCAAGTGAAGTTCTATTCAACGAAAGTTAACACTGCTCGACCGTTGAAGACGAGCAGCCTTGCACGATTAAGATAACCAGCCACTGTGAATCCGGCCTCGTAGAAGTAACGATCAATAATGCTCTCTGTTTGCGTTTCCCAAGCGATAGTGCCCTGAAAAAGCGTGAATGAAAGTGATAACTGAATGTACGATATTACACATTCGTGCGGTCTCTAAGTACCGATAATTGTTTCGTACGTTTCGTAACCTAAATAAAAAAACGTTACTAACGGCGCGCTGAAATATATTCGACAGAAGTTACTATCAAGGAATCACAGATTGAGACGTGTATGGAGCATCATTGGCGCATTTTTGCCAAATATTTCTGTTACGAATAGTAAGTATAAGTGTTACGTATCTAAATATTTGTTCGGATAGTACCTTGACTACGATTATACATATAGTAAAAATTGAATTTCAAATTTCCCCTTCCAAACTCCAAGGTGTACTCGATTCTCGAAGTATAACCTTGTTTCTCTTTTATGAATTTGTACAATAATTTATAACACATAAGTACCAGAATACATACATATTTTGATCGAATGATTTGTTCATAGACGGAATGAAGTATGCAGTCTTTATCGACCCAGGTAATCGGTTGCATCGGGAAATGTACTTCCGGTCTCAACCGCGAAGAATTAGACCAAATCACAGATAACATAAACAGAACTCTGGTTCATCCGCGAGGCAGAGAAATTTTTAAAAGGTACTTGAAGAAACGCGAATTGACGGACAATATCGAGTGTTTAGAGCTGTACGAAACCTGCTGCGAGTTTCTCGAGGAAGGAAAACATCAGTCGTAAGTGAAAATCATTGAAACGTTCACAACTGTTCCGTTATTTTTAGTAAAATATAAGACATTATTTTGCTGTATTACAATAGTTAACAATTTCTTCATTAAGATTAATGATTTTTTTTTATAATGATTAGTTTTTCTTCAAACCGTAGAATAGTTAGTATTTTTTAACAATTTTTATTTTAAAAAATTCTTCCCAATTTGCTCCCTTCGATCGACGGTTGACTGTTTTTGTCCTTGACAATAAACTGTTACAACTTTTGGAATAGAATTTTTGGCTTGCATTAATTCGCACTAATATTCGGCGCCAACTATTTTTCGGGTTTCTTCAAGTATTATCGATCGCTCAGCTCGGTTGGTAAAGTGGTTCTCTGCCGAATGGGAGATTCGATCTAGAATTTTTCTAATTCATTTATGTACAAATATAATATATCTGATGTCGTATTTCGTATGAACAGTGTTTGTAATTTTTAAGACGTGTAAGAAGTTATATTAATGTATATTTCAATTTTTAGGCAATCGAAGAAAGAGCTTCCCCTGGAGGTATTAATAGACAATGTCACGAGGGTCAGAGAAATGGCGGAAGATTTGGACGGTGTTCCCCAAATAGATATGGCGATACTGCAAAGCCTCAACGAGGCTTTAAATAGCAGGTCGAGGGTCGCGTTACTCGGTGTTTTGGAGAACACGAGAGATCGCTGTCGCAACCATTTGAGGCGCGTCCACGAAAGCTTCAAAACGTACGCGACGGAGCCATGCCCTTTGGCTAAATAATCAAAGAATGAACTTTTCTTACAATTGACGTACCTTTTTACACGTTGATAGTCATTTATTAAGGCACAGTGGAAGTGAACGTGTTGTACACGTTCTGCATTTACGTATCAATGTTAGCCTGTGATTCTGAGCATCACAATCCGATGTTCCTTCTATATACTGTACTGGTTCCTCTGTATTTATTTGAACTACGTTTGTAATTTAATAAATACGATGCTAAAAATTAGAATTCTTCTACTGTATTGATTCTGTAGATAACTAGAGTGCCACTACCCAGAAAAAATAAAGACGACCTAGTATTTACGTACTATATTATCTATTTACATACTTGAGCACTCAAGTACCTGAAGTTAAATTAGGTACACTGATATGTAATTTGTCATTGCTCGACTTCAAGTTGCTGTCAGTATCCAAATGTTTTTCGTTGCATGTCAAAATTGAACGAACTTCTATATCGAACATATTGGTTAATGGGAAGTACTTAGAAATCATGGAGGATACAAGGTTGCAAAAAATTTTTATCTCCAAAGAGGAGTATATCACGAAGATAAACGATATTCGTGTCACTGTGAAGTCTCTGGAAGAGAGTTTAATGGTGTCACGTAGTCTGGAAGCTGAGCAGTGGCTGAAACACGCGACATTGAAAATTAAGAAGAAGTTAGTCATCGACGACCTGAAGAAAGCGAACAAATGCAACAAGAATATGTTGAGTATGTAAGAATCTACCGAACAATAAACGTCGCGGCTGTGACGATGTAACTTTTTCAGATTTATTCAGGCAAAGCGTCACGGATGATCGACTTGGAAACGAAATAACATTGCCAGAATCTCTGAAGAGAGAAGTACAAAGGACTTGGCACCAGAAGTATAAATATCTAAATATCTAGTAGACGAGAAATATTGAATTACCCTAAAACGATTGAATTGTATTACTGGCCAGGTATGATGCTTTGTTGATGCAAAACGAGCAACTGAAGAAAGAGGTCGCGACTGCTAATCGTCTTCTCAAAGAAAAGAGTGAAGAGGTAGACCTGCGCATTTTTAACGATCTTAAACTATTAATCGAGAAATACGTACGACGTTCACCGATGAATTTTAGATCGACGATCTTCAACAAAAATTGTTAACTGTCGGCGACAAGCTCGTCGAGCGCAACGAAGTCGTGGGAAATGTTTGCAAAAAGTATCTCAGACTGAAAAAACGGAAGGACGACCAGGAGATGTTGCTACGAGGTTCCATCGAAACGCTACAGGTTGAAGCAGAATCAGTTGGCTGTTCAGGGTCACAAAAGCTTATTTCTAGAATATAGTTCGGGCCACTTATGTTTCCTATACGCTTTTCTTCAAAGTTCGAAAGAATTTACCGATTGTACAAATTGTAAGCTTTGATCACGATGTAGAATAAAACCTTGAACGTTCCCATTTAGACAGACACGAACTAGAAAGAACTTGTAAAGCCATACAGTCGTTTCTTTTTAGCACTTTAAGAAGACGGCCAGGCGTTCGGGTCGTGGTCCCTAATGCCGATGTTTAAGGACATCAGAATTATGCAACTAAAGGTAATAACCGGATAAAAGAGTCACGTTAAATTGGATTAGTGCCGATCGATGGGACAGTGCTTCACTATAAAAAGAGGAACACTGCTGAAAGTCGTCTTACTTGGTGCTGAACAGCATCGAGACCGTTCTGGGGCCCGATTACGTTCGATCGCCATGTAAGTTAAGTCGATTTTATTACGATTCCACGCCACGTTTCGTACACCGTTAAACGATCATTCGTATAAATAATAACAAGTCTAAAAACTTTCAATAAACAAGTTCGTAGACAGTCAAAAGAGAAAACAGTGTGTCAAATCAATAGAATCATTGCTTTCTATTAAGTAATTTTTTTGATCAATATAATAGTCCTTCCTTCGATTTGCATTTATCTAAATATCTGTGTAAATTTGTCAACTAATATTCCACTGTAATAATTAACAAGTACTACTTCGATCTTAAACAACAATAATTTCCCCCACAGGTACAGAAACTTCGATCGACCAGGTGATCACCGTGCATCACATTAACCTCCAACAGGTGTAAAATCCAGAGAACAATCATGTCTAAAATATACCGAGTGTTCCTCACAATCTATTCGCTTCTTCTCTCACCATCGATCGCCCTACTACTGCTATGCCTGTACATCTATCGTCGCGTGGTCGACAGCATCTTAAGGATACAATTGAAGGACAAGTACGCGGGCCTGCTCGACGGGACCGACACGATCTGGGCCGTAGAGGAGACCACAGCCCTGTCTGTAAATAACATCCTCGTGATCTTCGAAAAGGACGCTCGACATTCAAACGTGAACTTCCTGGAGAGTTTCAGGGATTTGGTCAAGACCCGTATCCTAGCGTCGTCCCACCAGAAGCTTCTTTACAAGAGAAAAAAGAAGCTCGGTTACTACTATTGGGAAAAGAACGAGGAGATCGATTTAAAGGAGCGTGTCAGGTGGTTAGAGTACGAGCGCACGAGCTGCGACGGGGGCTGCGACAACATTTACAACGGTCACTTGAAGAGGATCTTATGGAACGTCTGCAACCAGCCACTTCCGGAGAACCACACCGCCTCCTGGGAGATTCTGATCGGAAAGTGTTGCCCTAGATCGAGCCATCATTATCTCCGGCGACTGGAGGAACGTGTGACCAGCAGAATTCGTATACCAGTCCTGTTCAGGGTTCATCATTCTTTGGGAGACGGTATGGCCCTCTTGAAGTTCTTCAGGGAGGTGATCGTCGACAAGGAACCGGTCCACGAGACCTTCGTGCAGCTCGAGCACACGAGCTTCAGGATAAGGACCGATGAATCCAGAAGGACCAACGTGACATCTCAGTTGGGTACAGGGAAGAACAATCCAACGAAAGCTTCTTTGATCGCTGTCAGAAGTTCACGGTGCTCGATTCAGAACGATGTTATGTCTGCTTCCATGCCGTTCATCCACTTCAAGGTGTTCTTGCAGGTTCTGAAGTTGTTTAGAACACGATTCGAGGATGGATTGAAGTTTCTTCGGAATATCACCGTAGAGGATGTGAAGAGGGAGGCGATTGTGTTTGTGATGAACGAGGGAGAGAGGTCGAGAGAGTTCTTGTTGGGTGTTTGGAGGAGGACGAAGAGGTGGATGAGGATGACGAAGATCATTTTCGAGGCTCCAGCTTGTTTGATTGAACAGGCTTTCCGTAGCATGGATAAAAGGTTATTTTGCCTTCCTGTTTTCTTCTTCTTTGAGGGGTGTTTGTAATGTATCCATGTAGAAATCTTCGATCAGTGTTTCTTCTTTCAGTAGGACCTGTCTAGTAGATGATACAAAAATGAGATTTTTCTCGACATTGCATCGTTCTGATTTTTCAGTGCACTCCATGGGGCAGAACTGACAGGTGAAAAGTTGGTTTCCTATTGGCTGGAGGACGATTTCAAGAACATCAGCGACCAGAGACTCTTCACAAAGATTCAAAGTATAAAAAGCATCACGGGCGCCAGATTCGGGGATGTCCTATTGGCTGCTTTATCCGTTAGCCTACACAAGTACTTCGTTCGTGTATGTAAATCTTAATTAAAAAATTTCTTCCGGAAAATTACATTTCATTATCACCATTTTTCATCGATTAATTTTATTCATTCAGACGAATGAACCTATTCCGGATACATTAAGCGTCGTTCTGCCGACGAAGATAGAGGAATGGAGCGAAAATCATCCTTTGCAGAACAACATATCAGTCGGTATATTACCTCTTTGTCTATCCAAAATAAGCGGCAAGGCATCCGCGAATCCGATGGAAAATTCTCAAATTCTGGAACGCCTCGAAGACGTTAGAGCTGCGAACGATGCGTTGAAGAAGGGTCCAGACCATAGGGTTAATTTTTTGGTGATAAAGTACCTTTCTGCCGTGCTTCCAGAGAAATTTCTGCGACCGATTCTCAAAAGTCACAGCACCATGGTATTCAGCAACCTGGTTGGTCCTCGAGAAGTCAAGATCCTGGGACATTCGGTGAAGAATATTGTTTTCTGGATACCAAATAGGTAAATTCTTCGTTGAGGATATCCTTATGTATCGCATCTAGAGAGAAGAAATATAACAACAAAAGTATTCTACAGACAATGTCTTCGTCCTGTTTGGTTGGAAAAAGTAGATTAGTGATAAATTATTATTGAACTTTCTATAGGTGTTTAAGAAGTTCATTGTAAGTAGTAAATTTATATAATTATTTTTAGGAATCTCACAGGAATCGGGTGCTCGCTGTTGACTTATCGAGGTTACTTACACCTGTCTATGGTCGCTGACAAAGCACTGGTGAAAAATGAAAAATCTCTGACACAGATTTTGGAAAGCACCGTGCATGAAATTGATAATCTGTACGAGAAACTGACGCTGTCGTTTTTCTCGAAGAAACTTCGCAGGAGTATGTCAACGCCCACGAAAAAAGGTAATCATCGAGTAGAATATAAAATCTGACAAAGCACAAGTAACTATTGTTCATAATTTCAGCAATCGGCGCGTTGTAAAATTGCGGCGAAGAATGACCCCTGAAGCGCGTGATTCCTTGTTGTGCGAGTTCGTTATGTGTTCGCGGTGTGAAAGATTTTCTATTGTAAATGACTGTGTTTTGTAACTAAAAAAGATCGACGCTCATAAAACTATTCACCCGTATATATCCTGTAAATAATTGCTCTCAGACTGTAACCATATGATTATTCTTACACTCGAATTACATTCTTCAGTTCGGTTCGTTCCATGACTAAAAATATATTTCCATGAATATATACACACATATTGTACTAAATGTATATTTTCAGAAACCGTTTAGTAGGCAGTGCACGAAGAATTGAGTCGCAAATTGTAAAGATTATACAGTTGTAGTATTAAAAACCTCCGTGTATGACTTCTCGGTGAAAAAGGGTGCTTATAAAATAGGAAATGGTGACATTTCTGACCACTGCTTGTTTTACCTTTGTGTACTTTCAAATAATTGACCAACAAGGATGTAGGGTAAACGGAAGTAAGAAAGCCAAGGTCGATTTCCATTCTTAATAAAATAATTGATAATTCTGATCAACATTGTTGATAGCCAGTCAACGATTCGACTTCAAGAATAAATAAGGCCAAAAGACGATGTCGAAGAGGGTGTTGAAAAAGTTGAAGTTCGACCGTCGTCGACCAGACATTTTAGGGGTTGCGTTTACCACCGAGCTTGTCTTGTTGCGAAGAATCAAGGGACTTTTCACTCTGTTTTGACTTCGATTCTTTTTCTGATCTTTTCCGTCGTTCTTCTCGGACGATGTTTCTTCTGAGCTCGTTTCGACGTATTTGCGATGCTTCAGTGGCCTGTTGGAAACATCAATAAAACGACGCTAATTATAAGCTTCTAATTGGAACAGTCAGATTACACCCCTTTTGTTATCGTTGGCTAAAAGGTGAAGCAGTTTATAGTAAATTCCATTCTAACCATTTCTTCTTCTTGCATTCATCCGGGGACGAGCTCTTCAGGTCGCTGTCATCTTCCTGTCGATTGCTGGAGGGTGGTTCTTCATTGGTGCACGACTTACATGGATGACTTAACTTCAATTTCAGACTTTGCAGGATCGACAGAACGCGTGGATCATCGATGCCGTCCGTGACAGCTGGCGATTCGTCGGTTGACAATAACACGTGATCGCCTTCTATGTCCTCGTCTGCTTCCCATTCCGAACTATGCTCGTCGTTCCAGGGAATTCTGAATTAGATACAGGAATTTCGACTTAATCGCTTTTTCATTTAACCATTGCTCACACTCCTCTTAACATCAAATCTCTAACTAACTTCGGGTCTTTTGTGGTTTTCTTGAAATGAACCAGTTCCTGTTTAATCTGCTCTTGAACTTGATGAGATTTCTTGACTGTCTCCTTCTCCGATACCTCGACGCTAGAAATTTATATTCAGTATTCTTTCACATTCACAGATACTTCTTTCAATGATGTATTGGGGATAAGTTTCTTTTAAAAAAAAAAAAGTATGATAATGTCTAATATTTTCGATAAGAAAACTTCAACTGACTTGTCTTGGTCGCAAGTGGGCGGACATTTTGAGTTCTCGGAATCCTTCGTTTTGCTGCTGGCCGTCATTCTTCTACCCTATTTCATATAGATTATAATTATAATCGAAGTAATATAATTCGTTTTATCAGTCTTTGACGACTTTGGATACCAGATGAAATTCCTGAACGGTGTGAACAGGGAAAGCAACTATTTTCGCTCTTGGGATTCGGCTGCTTTGGAGAACCGGTGACTTCGCAGCGTTGTCGCATTCCTCCGGCTTTTCGTTTTCTTTCGATTTCTCACATTCCTCTGTATTCTCTGCCGTTTGATTGTCGTTCTTGCCTTTTTCGATCACCTCGATCGTCGTGATCTTGTACGACACGTTCTGACCATCGACGGTTTTCTGTGTATCATAAACTCTTCATGATTGGGAGTGAATGAATCATTTATACTGTTTCCGAATTGACTTAATATTAACCACCCAATATATTCAAAACTTGTAAGAAATAAGCGTAAATATACAGGGTGTCCCATCGTTTTAATTTATCAAAGTAACTTTCGAACAAAATAACGAAAATAAAATCCAAATGTCCTCTGATATATATCAAAGCAGTTCTTTTCGAATAATGAAGAGAACATAAGAAAAGAGGCTCCACCAGTTTCATTCTGACATTTAATTATTATTAAATAGCCGTTTGAATACTCGATTCAAAAGGAACAAAGTCTTTCTTTCCTGCTTACGAATATCGTGTTTACGCGACGATAAACCGGTTATCCCAAGATCTAGTAGACAATCATTTGCATCGCCAATAGAATAAGGAGCCGAAGAAAAGCGTCGAACCTTCAATAAATTAGTTAGATTCTCTACGTCGACCGCGTTGTTGCCGGTTACATTCTCCTTTTCGTCCTTCTCGTCGTCGGATGTGCCGGACGCGACCGATTCCGTCGCCCGATTCGCGTGTTTTTTTTCGGACGAACGCGACGATCGCGCGTTATTCTGTCCACGTTTCGTCGCTCGTGCCTGATATCTTTTCTGAAAATTCTTCCTTGACATAAGTCGGCTTCTTATGCGAGTCTTCGTCGCTCTCTTTTTACATGGATGCCCACTAACCGTTGGGTAACGGCCGTTCTTCTTGAGCTCGAGGAAATTCGGCACATCCGGCTGACTGACCGCCGCGTCGTAATCGTAGGTGATCGGCGGCTTAGATGCACGATTTCTACCACTGTAACGGGGCGTTGTCAATTTTCTTCCCGGCGATGCTTCGCGGACACCACGCTGCGACCTCGCGCTCATCTTTACGTCGTCATGACGAGAGGTTCGTCTGAGAAATGGCGGGAATTTCAATAAATATCAGAGATTCTAGGTAATTCTCTATCGATTTCTCATAGTTAGTGATCATTTTATTTTGTTTAAATAGATGTTCGAGCTTAGCATTAGTGTAGGATGCTTTGGAACACGCAATGGTAGTAAATGGTTCTTAATAAATCATGCTGTAAGTCCGACAATTCGATTAATTCGCGTAAATTGCGATTTATTGATATTCAAACGAGGAGTGTATTGATATTTCTACGAATTTCCGTTTTATCGATCGGTGATACAGTTTTTAGAAGAAGGGCAGATCCAGTAATTAACAACACGATTCACGGAGATGAATTGTGCTCTGTCCTGGTATCGAAATCACCGGAGGCAATGGCTACTATCCCTTGTGTTTAGTCAATTGTATTATCATTGAACTTCTGCTACTGAAAGATTAGCTAGAATACTTCACAATATCTATCGATATAAAATTGTTAAAATACTATAATATAAATAGCGATTACATCGAATTTCTTACTAGATAGGATTTTTTTCTAAGGCATCCTAAGGTTAGAACAAAGACCGACTAAACGTCACCTATATTTCTCCTCGTTACACGCTACAGTTTCTTTCAATTGGCACTATTAAAATTTCAATTTCAAATATTAACGAACTTATTTTAAATGTTAACGAGACGAAATCGGAATATCATTAACCGACTGTAGAATTTAAATCACAGTGTCTCGTCCAGATAATGTAATATTCGTAACATACTATTAAATCGTCGGGATTGATTTACTTTAATGCTACAACAATGATATCCAATGGACTTTCTAGGTAGTAGGTGCCAAGTGCATTGTTGATTTGTATTATTTCAAAAACCTACACGGAAGTCAGCGACACGCGTGTATCCGGTACTGGTTGTTTCCGTGGTTCCTTGCGCAGTTTCAGTTTGCTCCAGAGTTTTAGTATCGCGTTCGACGATCGGTTCTCGGTTTTCTTCGACGTCAAGCTTCGGTGACCGACAGAGGTTACGCGCTCGATCGGCCTACCGTTCCATTCTGACCTGGTCGCGCGTGTCCGCGGCAACGGCGACGCGGACCGGCTCGTTTTACGACGGAAGTGCGACTGAAATCGGAAATGCGGTTTCCTGAAATTCGCCAGTATTCCCGTTGCCCGTGCTTACATTTTCCGGACTAACGTAGAAACGCGATGCATTGTCTCTCTATCTATTTCCCCCCGTTCGTTCTGCGTTGACAGTTGTTGGTTAAACAAACGAAAACAAAAAAAACCTTCAACATGGATGTCAACGACATCTCGATTGGTATTATAGAATTCTTAAACGACAATTAGACTGCGGATATTCATGCATATTTATAAATATATCGTAGAGACTATGTGGGCAGACATGAAAAAGAGATAAACTTAAAAGTTAATGGAAGCTTAATTCAAAAAATATTATTTAATTTCATTTTGTTCTTGTATATTTCTGGATGGTCGAAATGCATAAAATACGCAGTCTAATGGTCAATATTTCACGAAGACAACTTTTATGTCGTTCATAAGGAACGACATGGATTTCTTTTATGTTTTGCACTAAGAAATGTTGCTTGTTATCAGAGAATAGATTATCGTTTCTCGTTGAATGTGTCACTAATCGTTATTAATAACCGGATGAATTTTAACATTCCCGGCTAATACTGTTCAGTGCAAGTGGGGAATCATTATCTTAAGATCGGTCTGTGGAAGAGAATACGAAATACGAATCTCGAGATCTTTTCGTAAGCCAGAAACATCAACGCGGCTGTTAAAACCGTTTGCAATAATTTGGCTTCCATTCCCTTGTACAGTCCCGCTATTCCGTGTTTTCTGTAGAATAAACGGGAAACTCATGTAGGACTCGATCGTTATTAATAAAACATTTGACATAAACGATATACTTACTTTAATATGTATAAAAGTATCTGTAACGTGCCGGCTTTTGGCGGAAGATTTGGATACTTGTGGCCATGCTGAAAATTGAAAAAGAAAATTACAAACAATATTAATACATATTGCACACTGTATCAGTTGTTTGTCTTGAGGTTTTAAAATGTACACGGTGTTTTCTAAGAAATCTCGACGATCCCCTAACATTGTATTTAGCTTCATGAAAAATCGAGTGACACATCTGTTCATATTTAAAAAAAATTTTAATTGGTTCCTCGAAATATACTTCGACCTCTGATAAGGTTAATCGCAATGATAAATACTACGTTAGGCTAATTTCGTTCAATAATTTATATCCAGAAGCCTCAACAGTAACAACTACAAGACTTTCTGAGAGCTTCTAATCTCCAACTCACTCTAAGTTTCGTTTGAACCAGTTGCAACGGATAAGTCAACGCTGTGGCAACGGCCTTCGCTATGGCACCAATGGCGAAGAACATCCATGCAGGTGGTTGGGAGCCGTGCAACGACGCGGTCACTTTCCTTTTGATGCTTTCATAAGTCATGAACTGAATGGCTGGGTTCATGACGAGCATCAGACTTGGCAATGTCCCTGCCCACAGGCTGCCCAGGCCTTCGTACTTCCAAATGTGCAGGAGACCATCTGGAAATGGCAATATGACTGCTTCATAACTATTTAATATTGATACGTGCTCGTACCAAAGTGATTGCAATTTAGCGGAGGAAAAGTCCCTAAAGTCTAAACTCTTTCTTTAAATTTGAATATTTCCCCCCTCCCCTTCCTGAGAATATAAATTTTCATCGACATAGAACGGTCCTGTGACACTTTAAAGAAAACTGCGCCACCGTTTGGGCATTCCTACTGGCTACGGCAACCGGCACTTTGCATGGTAATTAACTGCTACCGGTACGACAGTCCTAATGAGATGGTGATTCATTCATTTTCATGGTAATTGATGCTACGACCACGGTGCCAGGAGTCTCAGAACGTACCGTACAACGTGCTGTACTCGTTGTTGTTCCTTTCTGGGGCTTGGCCGACTCCCCTCATCTTTAGTCTGGTGTTCACCACCCACAATGGCGTCGTGGTGAGGACGTTGATCACACCTAAAATGTTTTGAATTCGACTGTAAACGATAGCCTTTTATATAATCTAGAAAACATTTAACTGGAATTAGTTTCGAAATGGTAGCTATTAATGCGAAACAATACCAGCAATGGAAGCGACCAGCAAATCGTTTCCAGCCGTTTGATTTCTTCGTGTTCGAAGCATCTTCATGCCGTGGAATGTGTAGAAGTAAACGAAATTACTGGCGCAGAGGCTCTGGAGGACAGGCACCATTCCTCTGTACAAGGTGTATCTTGGAGGAGAACATTTAATGCAAGAAATTAGAAAAAAAAAGTCCAACCGGAAAATACCTGCAAGGACTATTATGTAAACGGTAAATATTTTTTACGAAGGAACAGTCGATCATGTGATTTTGCTAACGTATACTTTGCTTGTGTAAAGTATTTTAAATTCAAGTGCGGTGCAATTATTGTCACAGCGATTATCGCATCCCGGTTTGTTTGAGTTGCATGTATTAGGAAATTAAACGTACGGTCCTTCCTTCATGGTGAGCTCGCGGATCGTCGCCAGTGTGTTCTTCGACTCACGTCCCTCTTCCACTGTAAAAATCATGAAACAGAAATGAAAGATTGTAAAATATTCTGTACGAATTTTGAGCCATAAATGTGACCACGATCTATTTAATACTTCGATTTTCTGTTTAGACGTGGACGGAGTAAAAAGCGAAAGACTACAAGGAGGACATTTGTGAACTTCAACTCTATGTTTATTGTATACAGAATCTAAAAAAAAGTGAGAGTAAAATATAACAGTATTCTCGGAGGCAAATTTACGACGATGATGAAATTATTTATGCAACAGAACTATTAAAAACGAACAGTTTTTTTTCCATACAAGATTACAAAAAGTTTAGCCAATTAAAATATCAGGACTTTTTGTTCTCTATTACGATGTCCTCTGCGGTACAAATATTTTGCGTGGAGAAGGCTTGTTAGGCGTGTGTTTATCCCCTTCATTTTACGCGTCGTTCGTGTTTCCGTCGAAATCGCATAAGCATGTCGACGGTATTCAAAGAAGAAATAATCAGACGCATGCAGACTACCTTGTTTCTCACGAAAGTTGTAAAACTTTTAATCTTCGTTATTTATCAAAATATCGTTGTTCCCGCCTAAATATATTTCACGCGTAATCTCCTCCTAGATTGTCGTGAAAGTTAATCTAATTTTTTTCGCGTCGCACACACTTGTACGTATTCCGGGGCATTGTTTTCCAAGTTATCGATTATCAAGTAGGTATTTGCCCTGCTCGAAGACACGGGAATCAAGAAGATTCGTTGCTGCCGTTGTCCGCTTGAAATTATTCCACGGCGGGAAAGAAACACGCGATCCGGAACAATCGGACAGGAAGTAAATTATACAAAAATATACTAATGCGCATAAAATTGCACCAACACAACGTGGAGTAATTGGAAGACTGCAAATTTCATGCATTTATAACAAATGTGTATGCTTCTAATTCGTTAAAACGAAAAAGTTCAGTAATCGTTTAATGAAGTTTCTGCTTTAGGTTTAATTCCTCTACTTTTACATTTTCATGTATGGTTCTGTTTTCGAGAAAATCCTCATTGGAAGATTTTACGTTCTTGCTTGCGATAAGTAGAAACAGCAAGTAATGGACAGACACGTTAGAGACCTCCTCAACAGCGTGTATATTAAACGAGGTTTTAAATTAATTTTCGTAAATTTCATTTCACATTTTTCACTTACTTTTGTTTATAGAGAATTTTTTATTTATTAATCTTTTATTAATCTTTTACTAATCTCTTATTTAGTAGCACTAAGAATATCGTTGCCATCTTATATTTGTAAAAATATTGTTCAATGGTTTGGAAGTTGAAATCTGTATTATTGGGAAATTTTTGAGAAAACGTGTTCGCAGTTTGTACAAATCGGTGAGCACGATATGATATTAAATGACTCACGTTGCAGGCGACTTCGTACGGTGTCCAACGGGAAGAACGTTGCCATGGCAACGACGCTACCCTGCAAAACAGCGAGACCCATTCATAGAGCAAAATCCACGTGCGTTATTGGTGGTTTCTCTGAAATATGTACTTACGGCTGCACCGGATATCGCGTGGACCAGAGTCTCGTACGTGAAGATGCTTCTGTTGTATCCGCTTCCGCCCATTTTTCTGAAGTAATTCGAGTCGAAAGTTTAAAAAATATTCGAGTAACTCTAATGGTCACAAGTCAATTTACGATCATCTCGGAAAGAGATCGAGATATGTTCTCACAAACGTGTCCACGTCTGCAATCAACAAGAATTAAAAAGTGATTATCAACGTGAAACGACGAAAGATTGTAATGCCACGATAAGTAATCAAAATTTCGTTAAACTTTAGACTTGTTATCGGAAAGGTGTATCGTCGTTCACCGACAAAAATAACACGAATCGATTTAATTTACGCGTTCCAATCAATCGGTACAAACTATAAATTCCTATGGAAAATTGGACTCATCGGTGCCTGGGTAATCGATTCAGCGGGATATCGATTGGAAACCAGTCGTTTAAAATTATCTCGACACATTCACGCACTGTCGGACAAAACTGTGGACTCACTCTGCGTAGGAAAGCTCGCCTATTAAACGAACTCGATCAACTCCAAATATTCATATTTACACGCGACAGTGAATAATTAGCGGGTCTACGGTTCATTGTTACTGTAAATATCATCTTACTCAATATCGTCGAACGATACCAAACTTTTATCCAACAGAGTGACCCTAGACTACACATTTTATGTAATTATAGCTTACGGGCCTCTGTGAAATACAATAAACAACAAAACTTTCATCAAATGCAACTAGTTTTCTATTCTAAACCCGACAAGATACTTAACAGGAGAAAGAAATTTCTATATTTGCTGTTGACTCCATTTTTGAAAATATAATTTTCTATAAAAATCCGCAGTCAAGTTAATCACCAAGCTACGGATGTTTATGCATTTGTAATACCCCTTAAAACGTTATAAAATGAAGATATTAATGGGGTTTAACCCTCATCCGTTTCTCACTTTCCCAACTTAATTTTCCCTCGGTATCGAATTGATACGTATCTTGAAAAGTACCTTAATTTATAAATGTTATAAAATAAAAGTCAGGGAGCCTCACCTAAATTTACCGTCACATCAGAAAATAACTTTATTTCTGATGAGACAAATGTGTTAAATTTCTACAAGGGACGAATGAGGGTTAATACAATATAAACGTAGGAAAGTCTCTAGCGTAGAATTTAAAATTCTGATCCATTTTAAATTTCGAATATTAGTATCTGTAATTGCGAATATGAATAAACATCCGCAGTCTACTGATCACCGTTAAAATTATTACACTGTCACTCGATGTACACTGCGATCAAGCACCACTGTTGACGATGAACGAAGAGCACACCTTGAACTTACCACTCGGAATAGTGATTCACGACAACAACAACAAATAATCGGTGAAAGTTCGAGGGCTCGTCTGGTCGATTCACGCTAGGTTAGAACCGCGCGGATGGGTCCAAACGTTCACGAGCGATTCTTGTGCACGCTCGATGAACGTCGCGCTAGCACTGCCGTCGAGCAGGAGGAATTCCGTGATGTCGTCACTACGTGAAAGAGAAACCCACGTGCCGTGGTTGTCCGTCGTCTAACGTTGTTACGCGAGAACGGCCTTCGCGGGGCATACACGCGAGAGTGTTTTCCGGCCTCTCTGCGCGGTTCCTTTTACCGGGCAGAAATGAGCATTTCGAGAGTGCTGCTGTCGACGGGCAATCGGAACGCTGAATAGTTTCGATGGATGCGGCTGGTTAGGCGGAGGACGATCCTTTTGTGGGAATTATCGTGATATAGACGCGCCCGATAAAGTCACTACGGCCATGACGGAATGCACACCGTGTAGATAACACGCTTGCGCGTAATTCTTGCGCTTGCGGCAGACACGATATGTTTGGAGGTCGATTGTGCGGCTCGCGTGCAACTGTTCGCGAGCATGCGCGTATGCAAGGGCACCTCGGAGCTGGGATATGTTTGATTTGAATTGAAACCGGAACGACAGAAGGATCGTTGAGTTTGGGGGAATTGGAAGAATTGGAGGAGTTAGTGGAGTCGGAGGAATCAGACGGATCAGAAGAATCAGAGGAAGCAGAGGAGTCAAGAGATTCAGAAGGGTCAGATGCGTCAGATGCGTCAGATGAGTTAGAAGAGTCAGAAGAGTCAGAAGAGTCAGAAGCGTCAGAAGCGTCAGGCGAGTCAGGAGATTCAGACGAGTCAGAGGAGTCTGAGGAATCAGGAGAGTCAGGGGAATCAAGAGTGTCAGAAGTGTCAGAAGAGTCAGAAGAGTCAGACGAGTCAGAAGATTCAGACGAGTCATAGGAGTGCAAGGAATCAGGAGAGTCAGGGGAATCAAGAGTGTCAGAAGTGTCAGAAGAGTCAGAAGAGTCAGAAGAGTCAGAAGATTCAGACGAGTCATAGGAGTCCGAGGAATCAGGAGAGTCAGGGAATCAAGAGTGTCAGAAGTGTCAGAAGAGTCAGAAGAGTCAGAAGAGTCAGAAAAGTTAGAAATGTCAGATGGGTCAGATAAGTTAGACGAGTTAAAGGAGTCACTGGACTCAGAAGAATTAGAAGAATTAGTAGAATCAGAAAAATCAGGCAGATTAGGAGAGTTAGGTTACCAATATTATTACTATATTAATTGCTCTAAAGACGCTGACACGTAGATTTAATTACTTACAATTAGATTCCATTTCTGTATAAATTACTCAGCAGAAATGATAATTCTAGATATGTTTCAAGTGTGTTTATCGTATGATGCACTTATTACGATGCAACTTACGTCACGCCAGTAACACGATAAAACGACAAGAATATAACATTTTCTACTTTGATCAAATATTCCAATGGGTACCGAACGCTTGCTGATTTTAAATGAAAGGCGAGCTTTCAGCAGTAGTTTTGAAGAACGTACAATTCCTACGGTCGAATCCATATCTATTTACATTAAATTTCTTTACAAGAAAGCCAATAGAAGAAATGGACTAGAAAATCTAGACCAAGAGCAGAAGAAGAAGAAAATAGAGAGATGGAATTGAGCAATCCTTCTCGTAAATAAAATTCAGTTATTACGAATGTACGGCCATAAGTTGCCATCGTGAAATTCCAGATCTTCTTCCTCAACCGTCGGCAGAAGGACGATAATTCACCTGATTCCCCGACGCATTATCGCGGTGCAGAAGCTCGGAAATTCAGACAGGGTTCTCTCATCCTCTTCCTCCCCACGAAGCGAAAATTTCGCAGCTCGTTCGCGGTTATCGCTGGCCCAGCTTCACGATATCCTGTCCTATTTATTTGCCCGTTGGGAATTCACGTGACGGGGTTCGTTAGACCCCCGTGGACCGGTCTCGAATTTCCCCCGTTAAAATGAAATCCATCCTTTCTGTTCCACGAATAGAGAGGCTGGCTCCCACGAGCGTTTCGTCTCGCGTATACGCACACACAATTGAACGTGATTTCTGCCACGATCCAATTTACCTTACGTTTTTCTTTCCTCGAAGAAGATATCTCACTGATTTGTTGCTTACAGTTGCGAATACCAGAATAAACAAACATTTCTTCGGATTCTTGAGAACTCGCGTTGAAGTTAAATATAGCGGCGGATTGAAAGATAATTTAATTTTGTTTGCACTGCTGGTAAAAGCAGAAGAAGTAACTCGACAGTATAGAATGATATTTTTTCATATAAGTCTCCGTTTTTCGAGATAATCGTCTTTGAAATTTTATTTCACAGTGGGTGATCAAATTATTAGAGCCATAATACGAAAGATATATTCTTCTCGTATTTATATCGAAATAAAATCACAATATCAAGATTTTCACACTGGATAATTTTTAATTAATAATTGTTTATTAAAAAATCGAATTTATCTTGTATAAAGCTTTATGTTAAAATTGTAAACTCGTCAATTTATGCAGGCGGCTCTAATAATCCGATCATCCACTGTAGCTTGTAGTAAGTAGAAACTACTTGTAATACACAGACACGTTAGTACCAAAGATCGGACCTCACCGACAGTTGTCTTCCCTCCAATTACCGTTTTACCTTTCGATTCTACGTTTTGAAAACCACCAAAGATGTTAATTTTTATAGTAGTATTCAATGAATTTTCTTCTCATCGTTTTATGCTTTTCGTGTAGAAACGTTGGTCGTTTCATTAAAACGGAGCAACCGGCGATAATTACCGCGCCACTATCGCGGAAAAAACTGTTGTACTTACCAGCGATATTATACTGCCGCATCGATCAGAGGAGACACTCGCATGATGCACGAGCCTTGTGACGCCTCGTCCGAAATTCCCAGAGTTCTTGACGGAGTTTAATTAAACATTCCGCGAGTCTGGAATTTCGTGGTCACCTCGTTCTATCCGTAACGAAACCCCTTCTAATGAGTTCTGAGCCTTGATACTTGAGCCTTCGGCGCTGCGTGACTGGCCAAACAACCCCATCACGTTGTTTCTCGATTGTCTTTCGATGCTGGACGTTGAAATGTTCTGTGTACGACGCTTTTCTCTCATCTCCAAATATTTAATAACAAAATTTGATTTCAGTTATTTGATTTTGAATGGCTGAATACAAGGTAATCTCACTTTCGACTCTACAAGTAAGGATTTTTCTTTATTTCTGTAATCCTGGAATTTATTTCTTCGTGTTCCCAAAGTCGTGAAATTGTGACAGACGTTGCAGAGAAACCGGAAGTCCTCGATGAGTTTCCTCGTCTTCGAGTAGACGAAGCTCGTTTACGCGGCGGCTTTTATCCGACTGGATTTCCCTGGACGATTAGCTCGTGATAAGGGCCCCTTTTTGAGTAAACGTCCCGGCGGATTCGTCGAGGAACGAGGTAAAAGGACCTGATTCCGCGGTAAGGAGCTGCGCGGTGGCTGTTCACGGTTTCTTCTACTGGAACGCGTTCGTTTATTCCGCTCGGTTGATGTTCCGGGGAATTTTTAGGTCGTTCGGAAATAAATGGTCGTCTGAGCGTGTTATCGTTGGTGGACAGGATACAGCGGACTCGTAACGATTGTTCCTTTTTCTTTATTTTTACTGACAGCAAGGTCTTTTTTTACAGCTCGAGACCACCCCCTTTCACGGGAGTTCGAGAAGGGTGGGCCTCGAGGCTCGTTTATGGCTGTAGGTATAACCAGAAGCTACTGTTACTTTTTCGAGAAACTTCAAGACGCTTGAAGATTTGTTAACACGTCCACTGCACGTGTAGTTGATAAAAAAGGGATTTGATACAAAGGGGGAGGGGCCAAATTAATGGGAAACTATCCATTGTATGAAAAAAGGATTCAGACAACAAGTGAACGGTTTTAAGGGATACATAATCTAGTGTAATTAGTTTTTTTGTAAAGGGCCAGGTAAAGGTCATATGAAGATGATATACGATTTTTTACATAGAATCATATAATTTTAAATACAGTATTCGATCCGTTTCGGCATACCATACAAGGAAGTATGAACCTATTTGTGTCGAAGAATCACTTTAGGATTGTTACTTCAGAAAAGAAGTATTGGGATTCAACGAAAAAACTAATTACACCAGATTATGTATCCCTTGAAACCATTCACAACTCGTCTGAATTATTTTTTCATACAGTGGATAGTTTTCCAGTAGTTTGAAATGTTTTGTTTATAACCGAACACCCTGTATTATGATAACCTGAAATATCGTCGAGTTAGTTGTTTGCATACTTTCGATAGATCGTTCGTTAGAGGAACACGTAGAAGAGGTCCAATTACCTTTTTATTTCCTAACACTTTACTTTTACTACGTTCCGCTTGAAGGTCCTTACCGTCGACGCTGTTCGGAGCTGTCGTTTCAGTCACGGCTGTTCCCGTTGAAGGTGTTCACAGTTTCTATGTACACTTACTTCACCAATGAGAGTTCCACGCAGTCATACTTGAGTCAACGAGGAATAGTACAGTTGGCTCGACCGTTCTGTGCCCCTGAGAATTATTATAATTTCGTCACTGTACCTGTTATTCCGTTGGCTAGTCCAGGAGGATTTTGGATGACGTACAAATTTTGGTACGAGGAATTGTAAGGTTCTAAAATATATTTTGTTTAAATTACTCTTATCAACAGCCTACTCACTTCAGTCTATAATTCCTTTGGAACACATTTATTTTTCTTCTACGTACACGGTCTGCCCCAAAATGTAGTAAACTGAAATTAAATTATCACTTTAGCAGGAAACTACCTTCAATAAGTGCGGATAATAACCGTGAATATCAAAAGAAGAACTGATGTTTTAACTAGCTTGTTATCTATTATTTCACCGTTCCAATGGCCCTGTCCTCGATTCATCATGAACATCGCCATCGTATACGAAGTCTTTCATCGTTTCAAGTGACACACAATACAATAAAATCCATCGTTAATCGTGTAACATAGATTCTCAATATAAAATATATTGAAACACGATGAAGAAATCACATCGAATCGATAAACAATCGTGCGCGTTACACTTGTAGCGACACTCATACAATCTGCCGATATTCTT